CAGTGTTCATTGAGTGTTTGGTGTCTGGTGCCTTAATGAAGTAACATATTGCCTGCTTTTACCTATGTCTAAATTGCACTTTGGTAGTGATGAATTGAACCGAAGTGAAAGTGTCACCTTGGCTATGGTAAAGATTTATTAGTTGTCATTGCTAAACCAGATCATTTAGGAATGGTTCAATTTGCTAGCAAGGTCTTGAGATGTATCTGGAGAATTCTCACTTCCCATGTTAGATATGTTGCAGGCCTTACAAAAGATAAAAGCTAAAAACTTTAAGAAGACAGCACATTATAAGCTGTCTTTGTTTAAGTTGTGGTCTTTTAAGGCTTCCATGATTGTTACCGGTGAGCAAATCATTGTGCCAACTAATGGCTGTCAGATCATGCAAAAACCAAGCCTAGATAAATTTCATATCTGCTGATGCTAAAATTTGAGCTGTTTTTTTTAAAGGGGAAAGTGTGTACCAATTTGCTTTTTGCATGAGTAGTAATGGACATTATACTTTCTTTGATTTTGCATATGATGTTGAGAGCCTGATGAGAACTTAATTCCAGGATTGGTAAGCAAGTAAGCTTATGACATGGGTAAAGTGTCTGCTGACTGCCCCTACCCAGGATGCTTTTTCTGTGTGATGAAGGAAGGGAACCCAAGCAAGCGTAGAGCAAGTATCTTAAAGTTCTTTCAGGAACTTCCCTCACAGGATGATGATGGTCAGGTTCTCCCTATTAGTGGCCTATGGAATACAGCTATGGCACACCCTAATGATCCTGAGTTCATTGAATTGGGGATATTTGAATGCATGGCAGCACTTATATGGAAGGGTTTAAAGAATCGTCGCTGGCTAACACATGATCAAAATATTTATATACCTTATTATGCAGCCCACATAATAGGATCCTACACCATGAATATGGAAGAATTTGCTGAAAGAGCTGTTCATGCTGGGGTTATTCCACCCTTGGTTGAACTTCTGAGAGGGAGGTTAACCTGGGTTGAACAGAGGGTGGCAGTACGGGCTCTAGGCCATTTGGCTACCTATGCCAGCACTTTTGCTGCAGTAGCAAGTCATGGTGAGATCCTTGAGCTTTCCATCCAACTAGCGATGAGTTCACTTGAAATCGTTTACTCTCATTTTTACCAGTATGTTGACAGAAGGCTCAGTTATCACTGTGATCTTCTTACTCGTGGCATGGGTGGTGTTGAAATGGAGTCCAGGAAGGCAGAGGAGTGGGCTAGTCAATTACAGTGCTGGTCTCTTCAACTAATTAATTGCTTTGCTTTTAAACCTGAGTTCCTGCCAACAATATGCAAACCAGAATTTCTCATAAAACTTCCAGGGATGTGGGGTGGGCTGGTAAATGAGAACTCTCCTGCTGGAATTGGCTTATTGCGGACGATCTGCCATCACAAGCATGGTAGGGGGCCTGTAGCTAGTTGCCCTGGTATTGTGGAGGCATTATGTAATATAGCCCGTTCATCAGATGACTGGCAGTATATGGCCATTGATTGTCTTCTATGGTTGCTTCAAGATCCAAGTACATCTCACAAGGTAAAGTGCTTGATAGACCACAGCCACCCTAACTAGGTCATGATCTTTTCTTTTGGACAATTAGCTGGATAGATGGATCCAAGATTTTGGGAAGTACATGAACTTGTTTTCCTCCTGGAAATTTTTGCAACTACAAGACCATGCTAATGAGTCATTTCCATAGACTGAATTAGACATTCAATACGATGTATACATCCATGCTTGTCTTACATGTTTTTGCTGGTTGTTAGCGTAATATCATCATCTGTAATTTTACTTTTTACAGATGCCTCCATACCTTGAGTAATTTTACCGAGATATTGTTTTTCAATTCCTTGTCTACAGAGAAGGAATAGTGTTTTGAATCTTGATTAAAATTACCATTTAGGACAAACTAACTACACAATAATCTCGGTTGGCATGTCCAGCAAGGTTGCTGATACACCCCTTACCTGACAGAGGTTAGTTCTTAATGTGTTTTGAACCCATGATGTCTCCTTTAAATTGAAAAACAATTGTCCGTGGCTTGCTCTTTTTCTGTGAGATTCTAAACCTCTGGCTTCAGGGAGGCCAAAAACAATATGATTAGTAGTGCATTGTTTGGTATGATAGGAAAAGGAGGAATAGTGGTAAAAGGTTCTCTTTCTTTTAGGCTTCCACTATGCTACAATGTGCTTCAATGTACTTTATATTCAAGAAATATTAATGAAGATAAAAGTCTAGGAAGATTACAAGGAAATTTTCTACCTATAAACTTGGGAGGCAAGTTATGTCTGGGATTGTGTCTGCAGTTTCAGTCTTCTGGTCATCCATATGTACAAAAAGTGTGTTAATACATGCCCTTTTTCCAATTCAGGGAGATGCATGCAACCTTTCTTGTTAATCTTCTGAGTGCCTTTTATGATCCAAAAATTTGTGCTTTTGTAGGTCATGGATAAGGCAGTACCTGCTTTGGTGGACCTTGCAGAGATATCAAGTCTTGGTGATCACAAAAAACTAGGAGAATCCATTGTCAATGCTCTTCAGGAGTGTGTTCAGTCACAAGGAACAGGACGGAATTCTATTAGTAGTCGCATACAAGAAGAGGTTGAGGAACTACTCAGCTCCAGACAGAGATTAAAATGGGAAAAGAATATGCCAAAAGAGGATCTTCATATTAAACAGGCAGCAGCACTAGTTGTCAAACTTGAAGGAAATTCACTATTTTCTTCAGGAAATATTTCTGGGGCTGCATCTAAGTACTCAGAAGCATTGGCATTGTGCCCAATGAGATCCAAGAAAGAGAGAGTGGTACTTTACAGTAATCGAGCTCAGTGTCATCTTCTATTGCAACAACCCTTGGCGGCTATAAGTGATGCAACACGTGCACTCTGTCTACATAACCCTGTGAATCGTCATGCGAAAAGCCTTTGGAGGAGAGCACAAGCTTATGACATGCTCGGGTTAGCTAAGGAGAGTTTGTTAGATGCTATTCTGTTCATAAATGAGTGCTCTCAGTCAACGGATCCAGATCTATCATTGAGGCAAAACAAGGTTCCTGACTATGCTGAGCGATTAGTTAAGAAGCAAATGCGTGCTGCTTGGTTATTTAGGGAGGCTGCTAGTAAACATGGGGGTGTGCATTGTGAGGGTGCAGATGGAGAATTGTGTGGCCAAGAGTCTGATGATTCTGAGTGGGAGACAGCAAGTGAAAGTGAAATGGGAAATGATGGAAGGGATGAAATGGGTGAGGATGACTTTGAATGGAAGAATGATTTTGAGAGGAAAGACAAATATGATAAAGCTCCGGTTAAAGGTACTAAAAAATTTAGCACCAGCAATCATAATTTTAATAGTTAGAATTTCTACTTTTGTTAACCATGAGCTTTAATGGTTTTGTCTATTATAAAATGATAAAGTGTTGATTGATTATGTTTCGGTAACCACAAATCTTTACCAGTTCTAAATATAGCTTGCAAGTAGCAGATAGCAAGTAGCAGATAGCAGTGTTACTAAATGCAACTTTTGTCCCACAAGCACTTGCATGTTTTCTGTCCTGAAGTTTAAACAGTCAGAACTTGTGTATAAGAATCCTCTTTTAGGTTATTTACTTACTTTCTCCTTTGTCTTGCATATTGACATGGTGACACTTGCAACTTTCCTGGTGAAATGTAGTTGATTATAGCCCTTGTGCAAAAATTTGTTATGGTGATTTGCCGTTATGATATTTTTGTGAGATGTTGTCAAATAGAAATTATAGCCCTTGTGCAAAAATTTGTTATGGTGATTTGCCGTTATGATATTTTTGTGAGATGTTGTCAAATAGAAATTGGGCCATTTATTTCATTCTCCTAACTTACTTGGTCCTTGGAACATACACAGACCTGCTCTTTATTTTCTCTCAATACTTGTTTAACATAATTTACCTGTAAACGCACGCAGACATGAAGCATGGGTACAATGTGCAGCTTACTGAAGATGAAGAGTAGTTCTACTCTGTTGTCTGGCCTTCTCTGTAAAGCATATATCAATGTGGATACCAAAATGATCACCGCTCTTCAAGAATGAAACATATAGCATCAAATGCATCACCTTAAATTTCATCAGGAACTGGTGAAGAAGCATATTTTTGTAAGTTTTGTTTAGCAGTTAAACTTTGTCTTGTGTAGATTATTGTTTGATTTGTCCTTTTTCCAATCCCAAATTATGAGCATGTAAAAGTTTGATCGTTATGATTTTGGTTTCATTAATTGATCTGCACTGTAACTGCTATCGTTCAAGAAGCTTTTGTAAATGTAAGTTGTATCTTTTGGATTTTTTGATCAGACAATTACCTCTCTTAGCATTATTCATATTTTTATACTTGTTGATAATCACTAGTGCTTGTTGTAAATTCATCAGCAATTCCAATACTATTCTCTGCTCTGCATATTACTAATTCATGAATCTTTTTAATACATGCTCTGCGTATTACTAATTCATGAATCTTTCTGCATATCAAGAAACGTAGTCAAATACCAGTTTCAGTTTTTACCAATTTGTCTGTGCCAAATATAATTCCTAGCTTACAGCAGAGTACCTTAAAACTCTACCATTGTTTGTTAATTCACTAGCACATTACAAGCTTTTTATGGCATAATAATACCATTTTTTCTTTTATAAGGAAAAAAAAAACCTATAAACAAGAGATTAGAAATTTTCTTGTAGCAAGTCAAATCTTGTGGAAATACTCTTTTCTTGATTCCCTGAATGCATAACCAAGACTTGCCAAAAAAAAAGGCCCGAAAGACATCATAAGAAAATCACTTGCACATGCAAGAAATGAAAGATGAGCAATGTCCCTTAGCTTTGTTGAAGTGATCTCATTCTCTCTCTTTTTAATGGAAGAAGCTGGAAGAACTGGGCAAAGACTTAAATGTTGTTGCTATTTATTGAGTTGGAGGGGCTTTTGCTGATTGAATCCATGCATAAACCTAGACCAAGGTATATCTTTTTAACCAGCACCGTGGACAAGATCAAAGACAACAAAGTATAATCCTGTAACCCCAGTCATTATACCAAACACTATTATTCCAAGTATCTCTATAAACTTGACATTGAATTTTTCACCTCCTCTTAGCTTCAAATAGCAGCAGCAGGGGAACAATAATGATGTCAAAACCACAGAAAATGACCCCACGATCGCCATCAGAGACTCGAAATAAGGGAAAAAACAAGCAATCAGGGTTGTGATAATTAGGAGAATAAATCTTATGACAATACAAATTAACTGTTTCTTATATTGCTTTGGTAGTCCATCCTCGATAGCATCTGCAACAGGTGAAATCAACAAAGGATACCTAGACAGTGGTATGACTAATGAAGTATACAATGCTATTTTTGAACCAAGCTCTTGTTTTGGAAAATTCAGGGTGATTTGTGGGCAGGTTTGGCCTCCAAAGATGAGATAGCCACCAACTGCAACTATGAGGTAGACTATACTATTGCATGAAAAACTGAGCAGCAATACCTGCAATAGATAGATGTAATGGACAATTTAGTTTGTGATTCAAATGAGAAATCAAAATGATAAGTTAAATTGTCAACTAAAATAAATCATCATAACTAATACAAGATAGCAGCAGGTGTTCACCTTAGTAAATTGTTGCTTATTTTGCATGGAGTTATACAGTGTAGGGAGGACTGAATGTCCTCCGAAGCAAGTTAGGAACAAACTGGTCGATATTGAGATACCCTTCCATGAAACAACTTTTGCTCGGTCTTGAAATCCATATCCACTAGTACCTCCAACCCAAAGCATAGCCAATATTATTACAAAAATCCCTAGTGTCCCCAAACCACTTATGAATGATAATTTTGTAACATTTGTTGAGAATAAAGTTGGAAGCATCACTAAAGCAGTGCAAACTGTGAACAACTTCTTTTCCCCAAGTTTTAGGTGTCCAAGGTAGAAGACTGTGTGGGGAAACAAATAATTTAGATTCTCAGACACCAACAGCAGTAGGCTGATAGAACTCAGATAGAGTTCTGTGCTCCCTATTAGTGAGGCCACTATTTTCCCTGACCTTCCAAATGCTTTATAACCCATGTCACCATAGCTCTGAACATCTGATTCATTACCGCGCATGCAACGCTCAAGCAGGAGAGCTGTCCGACAGCATACCATTGCAACCGCAATAAATAGTAATAAGCCAAGCCAACCAGCGATGGACAGTGCATATGGCAGTGTTAAAATGCCAACCCCTACAAAAAAGAGAACTTAGTACATACGTAAGATGTTGAAAAAATGAATTATGTTATGACCGAAAACAAACGACAACAAATAAATATAGCTGAGAGATGTCATTAACAAAATCAAACTGACTAAAGCAATACATAATTACCTAAAAATGCAGCAATCATGTTGTAACATGATTGCATGCAAGTGCTTTGTCCATCACCAGCAGTTACAGAAGCCATCTCCATTCCTCTATCAATAGTTGGTAACTTAGGTACTTCTTTTTTTATTTGGTAAGTTAGTAAGTTGGTATGAATTTTAGGAATTTTGCCGACTCAAATCAGCTATTGCACACGAACACTACATGCATGAAAACTGCCAGGCAGGCCTGTCATAAAATTTCTGTACTCACCCTAAATTCTCTGACGTTACAACCCGCTATAATAATAAATATACAAGTCTGCTTATTAATCCGTGCTCCCCTTGAAATCTGATTTTAGAGCCCGTTTAAGTTGTAATTCTTGTGGCTTAAGGCAGTTGAGAATCTCAAGTTCCTCCCTCAGGAATTGCAAGAATTGGAGGATGGAATCAGGAATTGCAAGAATTGAAGAATGCAATCCAAGAGTAGAGGATGAAGTTTTACTGCAGGAAGATCAAGAAAGTAGAGAGATGAAATGGAACTAATACGAAGGCCAAAACTGTTGTGCTCTCTTCTCAGTTCTCTCCCTCTCTTTTATAAACGTCTCTCTTTCTTCCCTTTCGAGTACATCAGTATCTAAGTGCCTACCCTACTGACATGTAACTACTTTCCAGCTAACTGCTGAACCAGCTAAATGAAAAATTGCATCAGTTTACAAATCTATTGTTGCCCAAATCATGATACCTTTCTGCTATATATACGTTTCTTTCGTTCTTCCCCGTTTACTACATCAGTAACTAAGTGCCTACCCTACTGACATGTAACTATCTTCCAGCTAACTGAATCACCTAAATGAAAGACAAATGTATCAGTTTGCAAATTTATTGTTGCCCGAATATGATGCCTGTGATTTTTCAAAAACTTTACTATTATGGCTTATGTTAAAAACTTTCTACCATTTTTAGGAAATCAAGTTTGCGAAAGATTTAAACACAATACAAGAAAAAACTAAGCTCGATATATTCTTGGAAATCAAGTTTAGTGAAAAAGGTTGAATACAAAAGTGAAAAAAATTAAAAATAAGCAGGAATTGAGATCAATTAAACATTTAAATTTAAAAAAAAAAGTAAACTAAACTTGATAACCTAAACAGAAAGATGGAGCTAAACTCGACTTATCGAATCTAGAGTGTGCATTGTGATACTGCAGATGGAGAATTATGTGGCCAAGAGTCAGATGATTTTAAGTGGGAGACAGCAAGTGCAAGTGACATGAGAAATGATGGAAGGGATGAAATGGATGAGGATTACTTTGAATGGAAGGATGATTTTGAGAGGACAGACAAGTATGATAAACCTCCAGGTCCTATAATTTAGCACCAGCAATCATATGCACATTTTAATAGCTAGACTTTCTATTTTTGTTAACCATGAGCTTTAATGGTTTTATCCATTATAAAACGATAAAATGTTGACTGATTATGTTTCGTTAACCACAAATCCTTACCATTTCTAAATACATAGCTTACAAAATGCAACTTTTGTCCCCCAAGCACTTGCCTGTTTTCTGTCCTGAAGTTTAAACAGTCATGCCTTGGTTTACTGTTTCTGTGCTACTTTCCAGGCTTATGTCTTGGGTGCAGGAGCGATGATACGAAACTTTTCGCCTGCATTTGGGAAACTAATGTCCAAAGAACAACAATTGGAAGGGGAGTATAGGCAGCTGCATTCACGATTGAGGACACATGCCGAAAGCATTGCATTTTATGGTGGTGAAAATAGAGAAGATTCTCATATTCAACAGAAGTTTAAGAATCTGGTTCGCCATATGAGTGTGTCCTTCATGATCATTGGTGGTTTGGCATGATTCAGGACTTCTTATTGAAGTATCTTGGTGCTACTGTTGCTGTTATCCTGATTATTGAGCCCTTCTTTTCGGGAAAACTAAGACCTGACTCTTCAACTTTAGGTCGTGCAGAGATGTTAAGTAATCTAAGATATCATACAAGTGTCATAATATCACTGTTCCAGTCCCTTGGCACTCTTTCCATAAGTTCAAGAAGGTTGAACCGTTTAAGGTATAAAATGAATTGTTTTTGATGTTTTGTTGAAATTTTGTAAGGTAGGCGTCATTTTCACAAAATTCAAAAAAGAGCCATGTTTTATAGGCCTACTGCTACGTTTGGGTGCACAGGACTGTAGATTGCATGGGGCCTAAGTTTTTTGCATTTTTGCTATGCTCAGTTGGGAATCTTTATAACTAAAAAGCTCTCAAATTTGCTTTTTGTATGAAAGTTCTTACATAATAAATTCAAGATGAGCTCATAGCCCTTCTATCTTGACAGTGCCATTTGTTGACCTATGGTAGACTTGTAGTAATAGAAGAACAATCACTACATTAGTTGCAATAAAAGCAAAAAAAGAAACAAGGGGGAAATGGGGACAAAATGATGCTGCATTGGTTGCCATGCACCAACATTTGTAATTGGAATTTGATGATGCGTCAGTTATGTTGAAGAGCACAATAAGCTAGTTGTAATAGTACAATATTCTGCATTTTAGTCTAGAAGGGGAAACTGGGAGGAACTGAATGTGGTAGTGTTGTCATGGACATGAAACTTTTGCATTATTTGCTTGGTGTGGTTTTAGCTTGTGCTTTTGGTGTTTGGAAATCATGGAAAAAGAAATCATGTACTGAGTAGCTCCTCTAATTTTTGCAGTGGGTATGCAGATCGCATTTATGAACTGATGGCTATATCTAGAGAACTTGGTCCACGTGATGTATCTTCTCACAAACAAATGGGACCAAGAATTATGTTAGTGAAGCAAATTATATTGAGTTTGACAATGTCAAGGTAATTTTGGTACATATATACTTTTTTTTGGGTGCTTCGGAATCATATTTTCTATGTCCTCAAGCATCGTAAAAACTTACAGGTTGTTACTCCAACGGGTAATGTGTTGGTGGAGGACTTGTCTCTAAAGGTTGAAACAGGATCTAATCTTTTGATAACAGGTACTTGTGATGAAACTGTTTTATTTTGTTTCAAGTGCCTGTTGCACTTCCTCTTATTGTGTTCTTTAAGCATAGTGTAGTTGGCTAATGTTTCAAATGGTACAAAGAATAGGACTCCTTGGCTTTAAATGTTTTATCTTTTTGTTGTCCCACTTCTAGATGGTAGAGGCAACATGCATTTGTTCTGTTAGAGTTTTGTTTAGGCATCACTGTTGCTTTTCGCTTCACTTATTTTACTAGATGTTAATCAGGCTTTATGTCTCTCTTTGATCGTTGTAGTTCAATTTATTTTTAGGAGTAATTTAATGTTTTAAACTTGATATGTGATGTCTGCATTTGAATGCATATATAATTATCTATATTTCAGTCTGATTCAAGTTAAAATCTAGTCAATGCATGCTGATACATCCTTTTTGTTTCATATGAATTTATACTGAGGTCCTCCTTACACTTGGTATCAGAAAGCTTGTTTAGGGCCCTTAAAATGTGCCTTCCTGCTGGGGTCCTAGAGAGCGTTGCTGAGGCCAGCAAAGACTGCATTCTTGATTGTTCTTTTAATTTGTAGTGAAAGGTTGTTGGCTGCTTGATTACCCAGTATCGCCTATCCATTGTAGTCTCAATCACTCTCCATAAACATTGAAAAACTGCTGGCTCAAAATCTATTCTTTCTGTAACAAGTATAATTAAAAGCAAGGTTAGGTATCTCTGTCTCCCAGTCAGAATGCTTGAATAGTCCTGAATTTTCCGCCAATGAATTGGTCTTTTAGAGCTCGCTTGATAGTGGATTTTCTTTATTTGTATCACTCAAACGATAGCTTTTATATAATTTGTACATTCATATACTCGAAATCAGTTCAGCATTTGGAATTTTGGGCTAATGGTTTTCTATATGTTGATGAGTTACTAACTTATGTGGATCCCTTCTTGCTCTGCTACTTGGTCGTCATTTCATGCATCTTCTGAGAAGTTGCATTTCTGACTTCTGAATGTTACCCTTTAGAGTCTGCTTATATTTTGACTTTTACACACTGTTATTCTACATGAATGACCTCTCGAATTATATCTTTTCTATAGTTTGTACTTCTATACTTTCCGAATCAGTTAATAGGTGGATATTTGAGTTGATGATAATCTCTTTGGTAGCCGCTTTCTATGTTATATGATCCCTTCTTCCTCTGCTACTTAGTTGTGATATCATGCCTTCTTAGAAAATTTGCATTTTGGGATTCTTAATGCTACCATTTGGAGCTGCTTATGTTTGAAATTTATAACTCCTAATTGTTTTACATGAAGGACCAAATGTAGTGGCAAGAGCTCACTTTTCCGAGTTTTAGGAGGCCTCTGGCCGCTAGTGTCAGGACATATTGTTAAACCTGGAGTTGGTTCTGATCTTAATAAAGAAATCTTCTATGTGCCACAACGACCATACACAGCTGTCGGAACTTTACGAGACCAGTTAATCTATCCTCTTACTGCAGACCAAGAGGTTGAAACTCTGACACGTGATGGAATGGTTGATCTACTGAAAAATGTAAGAGTTTGTTTAAACCATGCGTGAGGTGATCTTCTGTAAGGTTATTTAATCATCTGATAATTGTTGATTTGAAGAATTTTATTTGGGTTTTGATCAAGTGCAATCTTTCTTCATTCTTCAGGTTGATCTTGAATATCTGTTGGATAGATACCCGCCTGAGAAAGAGGTAAACTGGGGTGATGAATTATCTCTAGGGGAGCAACAAAGGTTGGGAATGGCTAGACTCTTTTACCATAAACCCAAATTTGCTATTCTTGATGATGAGTGTACCAGTGCTGTGACAACTGATATGGAAGAACGCTTCTGTGCTAAAGTTCAAGACATGGGAACGTCGTGTATAACAATATCACATCGTCCTGCACTGGTTGCATTCCATGATGTAGTCTTGTCTTTGGATGGTGAAGGAGGCTGGAGCGTTCACTATAAGAGTAGCAAAGTTGACAAATATTTCTCCATGCAAGGTTTTGGTGTTTCTAGAATTTTGCTTATCGGTGTTAAATGAATTCTACAGGCAGATTCTCCAGCTCTTGCTGAATCTGAGTTCAATAAGCAGAAGCACT